GCAGGTGACTCCCTGGGTGCCGCCCGCGCCCCGCCTTCCCACCTGCATTCTGCCCCTCGGAAGGGGCTGCCTGACGGGGTGGAGGGCCTCCTGGCGCCGGGATGGACACGGAAGGGGTTAGGGACCCAGGTCCGAGTTAGGAGCTTTGGCCTCAGGGGAGACCCAGGATTTGACCCCAGAGTCCTGACCACGCTGCGCTGAGTAAGCGGGGTGCTGTCTCCCCACTGATGTGTGAGCTCCTTGGGACAGACAGCGTCCCTCTCGGGCCAGGGTAAAAGGATGCATAAATGCGTGTGGAATGAGTAAGAGACTAGATGGGGTCCCGGAAAACCCACAAGCACCCAGGGCCATTCTCATCTACTAGAAGCGCTGGGAGTAATGAGCTCGCGCCTTGTGCTTATGATGGTAGTGCCAGCCCTTGACCCTTTATCTGCATCTACTCCACAAGATGGGTGCAAACATCCCATCCCCACCTCCGCCTTTGTCAAACCGAGGAAACGGAATTGAGCCCGGAGAGCTTAAGGGTAGCTGAGGACACAGGCCCTGCTCGCTGCAGAAGCAAACACGGGAACCCGGGGTGGGGGTGCGGGGGGGGTGGCTGTGACCCGCTGCTGTCTCCCTGTGGCTCCACAGCTTCCACTGGTGGGAGGAGCGCTGTGCGGGGAGTCGGGGCGGGGATGGAGTTGGCCCGCTGCCCCTCTCGGTCCGAGGCTGCGTGACTGGGGAAGAGTTACCTTCTCTGCCTGTCAAATGGGGACCATGCTAGTTCCCAGCATGATATGGATAATGTGCCGGGCACTGGGGAGTTTGGAGCCGAAGGGGCTCAGATCCTCGCCCAAGGCCTGAGGGAGAGGGCGCTTAACCCCCTCGGGCCCGCTTTGTGGGACGCTGAGCTTGCTGGAGCCAAAAGGGAGGGCAGGGACATGGCCCCACTCGAGGCAGCTCGGAGTCCCCCTGACCCTGGTGGGGCCTGAGCCCAGGCTCCGCCCCGCGAACGTGGGGAATGGCTGCCGTCCGCTCTGTGGCCAGGAGGGTGGTGCTCTCCCCGTCTTACAGGTCCAGCCGAGGGCCGTCTGCGAGGTTCCAGTCCCGTCACCTGCCCAAC